ATCACTGTAATGCGAAGCTTCCATCTGGAAAGCAGCCATTTTGAGAAGGGAGGGGAGCCATTTTGCGGAGGGAAGCCATTTTTGGAGTCGGAAAGCAGCCATTTTGAGAAGGGAGGGAAGCCATTTTGCGGAGCCGAAAAAACCATCGTTTTGCGAACAAACGGTTCGTGAAGCAGACTCCTAATCAACGTAAAGCGGATTTCCCCCACTGGAACCATCGTTTTGCGATCACAACAGCAATCGCAAAAAATGTCACTGTCAAGCAATTTCTACGTCATGTGGGGTAAATGTCTAGCGGGGCACCACTGTACATCATTATAGACACAGATTCAGAGGGTCTGCAATTATATCTTCAAGGTTAAAGTGCCCATCCCCTTCCTTTTGGAGTTTAATATGTAAGGACTGTCATTAATGAAATGTAGGCATGTGCTTTTAAATAACTGTATTGCTTGTTAAATTACTTCCAATTTAACGCTTAGTTTTGACTTAAGTGTAACATCCTAACTCTCAAAATGCAGCCTATGGAACCTGCAATACAATTTGAACAAATCGTGTAGTATCTTTAAGTAACCTTATTCACACACATTTTCTAATATATTAAGAACTGCAGTTAAGTTAAATGTCTGGTGCTTAATGATAACATATTATAATTCCAATCCTGCTGTTAAGTGAGTCATTCTTGTAAATGAGTTAAAACTGTTACCATCTGGTGTTCAGGACAGTTTCTCAAAATCATTACTGGTATTTCACAATCCAGGAATGAAACAGGCTTCATACAAAAAAGGATAATCCCCACTAGAATACAAAAATACCCAACACACATACTGTTTTAAGCATTCATCTTTTCTTCATTGTCCTCCCCATAAAATGAGAATAAAGTGAGAGAGAGAGAGAGATTTTTCTTCTTCCTCTTGCAGCCTCCTGGAAGACTCTAATTCTGATCAGCTAGGTAGTCATTTGGAGTGGAAATATAATAGAGCATTAATTGTATTTAGCACCCACAATGCACTAGCTGTTGTAGAAAAGGCATAATTAGGACAAGCAGGAGCCTAAATCCAACTGCAAGTCTCAACTAGAGTATACCAGTGGAATAAATTGCTAAAGGTAAGTCAACACTCATGTAAGTCCTATTGCTTCAATGGGATAATTCAGTGTGAGCAAGTAATGCACTTCTGAAATAGTGAGTCCTACTGGAAAGTATAAATTAGTCCAATGTGGTGGAGATGGGAGCATATGGTTCTCCAAATGTTGAACTGCACTTCCTATGATCCCTTACTATTTAATGTACTTACTGTGGAAAATGGGGGTTTGCAGTCCAACATCTGTTGTGTGTAACTTTTAGGAATGAATAGCTGTAAGTTAAGAAATGTCCATAGACCTTATATATTACACACACACTCAAAGCAAAAAGCTAAGTGTGCTGCTTATGAACCACCCCACAGTGTTTAAAGCACTCTCTGAGTAGTTTACAGTTTAATTATTCAGGCTACACACTGCCCTTGATTGATTCGGGTAGTCAGTTTACTGACCTTGGAAGGATGGAAGGCTGAGTCAACCTTGAGCCAGCTACCTGAGCCCACCAGATCAGATTCAGGTCGTGAGTAGTTTTGACTGCACTATTGCAATTTAACCACTGTACCATGAGGCTCAGTATGCAACATATAATGTCTATGAAGATTTCATAACTCACAGCAACTTGCTGCCAAAATTTCGCTGTTTGCACAACTGTACAACAGAATTTCAGCCTATATTTAGTTGGCTGGGAATGTAAATCCAAACTGAGCCGCTTGTTATCACACTAGCAATCAAACTCAAATCGCTCTAAAATGCTGCAATAATATATCAAAAGCCAAATTACAATAACTCCGTCAAAAGGTGATAAAAATAGGTCAATATGCTCTAAAGTTCCACTCGATTAGCTCTGCCTTCATTGGTTAAAACCTCCACCAATCAAGTGACCAATTATTGATAAGATGAATTAGTTAATCCTTGGTAAAGATTCCCCTTGACATTTAGTCTAGCTGTGTCCAACTCTACAGCGCGGTGCTCATCCCAATTCCCAAGCCATAGAGGCAGCACTTGTCCAAAGACAATTTCCGTGGTCACGTGGCCAGCGCAACTAGACACAGAACGCCATTTTACCTTCCCACCGAGGTGGTACCTATTTATCTACTCGCATTTTTACATGCTTTGGAACTGCTAGGTTGGCAGGAGCTAGGACAAACAACGGGAGCTCACTCCGTTGTGTGCATTCGATCTTACAACTGCTGGTCTTCTGACCCTGCAGCACAGAGGCTTCTGCGGTTTAACCCACAGCGGCAACACGTCCCACCCATTATAGCTCCCAGCAATAATAATAACATTATTCATTTTCTCCTTTATTGTAGACCTTCTTCGCTGTTATTTCATTTTTTATAACTGAGGACATAACATATGACTTATGAGACAGTCTTCAAGTGATTTGCCAGAGGCACAACAGATGCAGGACTTGAACCCCAGTCAACACTGAATACTGCCCAATGCGTTTGTCCTTCATTTCTGCAACATGCCTTCGGGAACAGTTATGGCTTCCTTCAGAGTTTGTAAAGAGGTATTAAAAACCTCCTAATGACAAGTCTGTGTATTTTTGCTTCAACACACTACATCTGTTTAGCTTCTGAATGAGACTGAAAAGTCTTTGGTATGTTCTGAAAATGATTAATGGACATTTTATGCTCTGGAACGCTACATCAATTTAACTTACAACCCATCAACTACGTGTTGCTGAACAATGTGGCCTTAAAAATAATAATCTAGGCTGCCATCCACTTTAGTTGAAAAGACGAATCCTTCCATTTACAAGAAAATGAAACAATCTATACGTTTGCACCACAAAACAAATTAAGACCAAGACTGGACAATTTACTGTGTGTTCTTTGTGTACATTTTTGAAGGCTGTTGACAAGAAAACCTCATATGATAATATATCAACTGGATTGCAACACAGTACTGCATTTCTTCTAGCCTCCTAGGAATTGTAAGCAACTTTTAAACAAATGAAAAAATAACTCAAAGGAACAGAATGATTTGTATATTCATCTGTTTTTATTTCCTTCAAAACCCAGAAAATTCAATGACCCTGTAATGTTTCTCAACATTTTATGTGTAGCAGATGTAATGGCCTCTTTCACTGAACAAGCTGCTGAAGCAGGCACTTAACTTTAACTGTACTACTTCCATTTCGAATATTATTTCCGAAGCGGGGGGGGATGCCCCCCAAGGGGGTCACTAAGTCTTTTCTGGTAGTCCATAGGTCAGCCAACTTATATGTGTTGTAACACTTGTTAAGTAATTTCTTCCCTTACTTTTCAGAGCAGGATATTAAAGTTAGTGATTATGTGTATGTATGGGGAGCAGGCCGTTTGGGCTGTTGTAACACTTGTTAAGTAATTTCTTCCTTTACTTTTCAGAGGAGGATATTAAAGTTAGTGATTATGCGTATGTATGGGGAGCAGGCCCTTTGGGGGAGGAAGAAGCCACTACTTTCCGAGAACGGATGACTTTACCCCATTAAAAATGCCTTTTTCTGCAAACATGGTGGGTGGGGGCAAGTTACTTGGCTATTATAAAATATGGTTGTGACCTGAAAAAGGTTGGGGGCCCCTTACTCCTTGCTTCCTAATTATTTTCTGATAATGTCTAGTGCAAATAACTTGGTATTGGATTGTGCATACAGGTCTGTTTATACAGGTCTAATTTAAGCCACAAATGCAACTGTTGCCTATCAGCATTATCATCTAGGACAGTGATGGTGAACCTTTTTGAGCCCGAGTGCCCAAACTGTAACACAAAATCAACTTATTTATTTCAAAGTGCCAACACTGCAATTAAAACCTGAATACTGAGGTTTCAGTTAGAAAAAACGACTGCTCCTGCACTGCAAGGGTTAAATGCTTGTTGTTGTTTTTCTATGAGCAGTATTAACAAATGAATACTTACTGGTCCTCCAATCCCCCAATGGGCTAGACTGGTAATTGTTGCCATTGCACCCCTCTGCTGGACCAAAGCACCAGTAGAGGGGAGTGCCAAAATCCAGGATCAGAGGATGGGTTAAGTATTTCTCAATGGCGACTTTTAGCTCACATGGCCACAGAGAGGGCTCTGTGTGCCAGCTGTGGCACGCGTGCCATAGGTTTGCCATCGCTGATCTAGGAGGTGATTGGGGTGCTGTCTGGGTAATTGTTTCTCAAGTCATGCATACCTGTGCCATGGGACTTCCATTAATGTAAGTGATTCTCACTTGCAAGATGTAATACTGATAGTCCTTTATTGTTTTCTAATTTCATCTGCTGAAGTGGAACCCTGCTCCCATGAAAGTAGTTTCGAAGTCTGACTACAGAGACATTCTTGAGATTGACAAGTCCCCACCCACCTATGTTCCATGGCAAATAAAGGCACTCTGTACACTCCTTTGGATGATGAGACCAATATTATGAACAGGAGATTCAGGTTTACAAGCACTCCTCACTTAATGACTGGGTTCAAAGAGAAAGTTGCTGGTCCAAATTCATTGTCTGGGTCTCGTTTTGAGTGAGGTCTAATTGACAACTCCATTACAATGTATTCTCAAAGACTCCATTACAACTTCCACACTAACATTCTGACGCCTATATCGCCCTGGTTCATCTTACTAGAAAACGTTCTCAGTAGAAAATTACACTGTGGTCCAATGGATATGATGCAGTGGGTGTCCTTGGCTAATTCCATCTTACATTTTATTCTCTTTGCACAATGGGAACAATGGTGGCTACGTTCTGTGAAAAAACCCTGCTAATCTATTGTTCCTTTGACATTTAGCCATAGACACCACACACTCACCTTTTGTATTTGTTGTAGCATTGCTTATTTAAGCATGTGTTACTATTAAAAACACAAACATATACACACAAATGTTGGTATATAATAGGAAACAGTCACATAGAAGGTGTAATTTCACAGAATATCACTGGCAAAATACTTACTTTCGCCTTTCTGCTTCAAATTTGTTCAATAGTTTCTGAAGACCTCCATTTTTAAATCCCTGGAAATGTGCTGCAGGGGCTCCTACTGTGATTACATCATAAATGACTTCTGCAACAGCAATGGTAAGTATTGAGATTTGCATACAAACTGAAAGAAATAATAAAACCCCGCTTATAATACCAACATTCTCCTTATTCTGAAATACAAGCCCCTCATATCAGCACCTTGACAGTGAAGCTTGTTCCCAAAGGAAGTAAGGATGGCTCCATCTCTGTGGAGGTTTCAACAGGTAGCCAATGCCTGTTAGTTTGGTTTATATTATGGCTTTTAAATCTGCTTTTAAGGAAAGTTGCAATCTATTTTATTCTACAACATTTTGAGGGTCCTAGAGGAACATGATTTAAAAACAAACCCAAACAAACAAACAAATAAATGTTCTCATTAGTTAACTGACTTTGATGGTATTATCTCTAAGGCCTAGAAGGAAACAGAAAACCTATAAACATGCTTACTGCATTGTTTTGGACTTATTCTCTTCTCGCTCTGATGATAGTACAAAAACAACAAAAATTAATACCTCTTAGAGTCAAACTAAACACCGAGGAAAAGAAATATTCTCTTTGACAAACATGCTTTCTCTCCAGCAACAAGATCTTCACAGATATAAATGTCTCAATAATCGTATTTGCGAAGTAAACTCATGCTGGCTTTCCAAAGACCAATCACAAAACAAAGCACAGATAAATGGAAAATGCATAGATAAAGAAAGGCCTGTGTTATGACAAAGATTTATTTTAACACTTGAGGGAGTACAACTTCCAAATCCATGCTAGCCATATCTCCTAGTTTGACCCTAAAATTTGGCATGAGATTATTGTTTGACAGCTTACTCCATCATCTTTCCATCTTAATATACCATATCTCCTCCTATTTCCTTCCACTGCTACCTGGATACCTCATCTCATTACCATGCTGTCTACTAGAGAGGTCAGGTGGCTAAATATCTTGGTTAAATACCCATCACTCTGGCAGACATCCAGGAGACAGGAAGAAAAAGAGGTTTCCTGATTAAATCTGAGTCAAGCTCCTAAATCAGCAAACTGCACAGATTATAATTTACCTTTTAATCGAGGACTATGGACATACATTCTCTGCAGATGAAGATTGACTGGAACAAATTCTAGAGTCTTTTCCCCTTTACTGCCACTTGATTTGAAGGAAGAACCTGGAAATAAAAAGTCTAAATAATCATTGTGAAAGAGTAGTCCAGATGTCCCATCTGTCTTAAAACACCAAGGGAGGGAATACTTTCACACTTACAATGTATCTGCAAAGTGTTATTCCATATTAAAGGGGGAAATGGTTTCCAGTCTCTCACAGCATATTTCTCAAAAGTATATACTTTAAACAGCAAAATAGATTTTAATACACAACACAAACTAACATTCATCTCACCTATTTATTTATTTATTTATTTATTTACAATATTTTTTAGCCGCACCATTGCCGCACCTATTCAACAATAGATGTTCTTAAGGGCTAAATTCCATCAAGTAGGCTGCAAATGATGCCAGTTTAACTATGTGTTTGTAAGTCTGTATGTGTGCTAAACATACTAGAGGTTATGAGCACTTTGGAGGCAAATCCATATGCCACTACAATCCAGTATGGAAGGCACTTCTGTGTTATAAGGGGAAGGCAACCCGTACATGATGGTCAAACATATGAATGCTTCCCTGGCTTGGATCTTGAAAATTATGAATTATGAAAAGAAGCACCTGGAAGGGGACTTTTGCGTCATCTCCCTTCCTTCCTACAACTCTTTAAATGTTTCTTCTGAGCTTTGTAAGACCCTCGAAACAGGGATGGGATCAAGGATGTGCTGGTGTGGAGGTAGAAAATCAGTCACCATCAGATAGAATCACCTTGCATTAACAGAGCTCAGTTCATTATATATGGATTCTCCCTTTGCCCAGCATATTTTAGAGAATCCCATTATCCTCAAGAGAAGCTTTTAGGGGGCAGCAGTGGTGGGCAGGGTACAAGAAAAGCCACTCCTCCATTGATAAACACTGGGAAACTACAGTTTCCAACAGGATCTCAAAAAATAGACATAATTGGGATAAAAAGTTAGGGTAGGGAGGATAGTCTTGTTAATCTGCTGCCGAAAAAAAACTAATGAGTCTAGTGATACCTTAAAGTTTAACACATTTTATTTGGCATATACCTTTGCAAACTGCAGCAAATTTTTTTCAGATGCATCTAGTGTTGCCTGAGTTGGCAGATAATCTGTATACATGCTTGGGTGGTAAAGGAGATGTAGCAGAACTCAAATACAAATGATGAGCATACCAATGTTTTTTTTTAAACAACGATCACTTAACAAACTACTGTATAGGTGAAAAGCAACAAGGACATAATAGCATAAGTAAGCAGATTAACAGATGTATAGAAGTGAAAAGTTGTTGTCTAATCTAAGAACAAGCCATAATGTTTAATCTCTAGGATAAGGATGGGCAAGCCATGGGAAACCCATGCCAACCCCTCCAAGAGAAAGTAGATGGCAACAAAAAGATATCCAGTTGTAATTGGGAAAAGTAGGATTTTTGCTAATACAGTACAAATGTTTCAGAGATCTGCTATGTTTTAGAAGAGAAGTGTGCTCCATAGAGGCTTGATCTTCCCATTTCTTGGATGAAAAGGATCAGTTAAAAAACACACACACACACACAAAATTACAGAACATTTTGAACACAAATGGCGGTTTTCAAGACCTGAAAAAATAGCAGTGAGGCCAGACTATGGCCCCAAGTCACACAACTTTGTTCCATCACCCTCACCAGTAAGCCACTTTTCTATATTCATTGTTTTTACCTTTAAATGTTGTATTTTAATGATGCATGGCATCTTGGTTCGTTTTTAAGGAGACAGGTGTGGTAAAAAATATTTCAAATGAATTAATTAACTAACTTTGGCTGTTGGTTTGCAATTAATAGGTTCACAGGGAACAAAAATACAAAAATTACAGAGCAAAAATTGCCTAAGCACTGGTCATCCAAACCACAGGAACTGGCCCCACATTCTGATGAGTTGCTTTTCAGCTATTTCCCACCAGAAACTCTGCTTTGGTCACCTTTTTGTCCATCCATGGTGGCCAATGGAAGAATGTCAAGTAGAAACAGCTGGATCAGAACTCAGCTGTATCTGCTGTGACTTGAATATCACTACCTGTGTTGGCCAGTTCAGCTACTGTACATTATGATGTCTGTATTGCTGAACAACATTTGCTTGCAACCCACTATCATGGAACTTCATTAATTTCTCAATCACAAAGACAAAGGGACAGAAAAAGAGATACTGGGAAGATAGCTCTTGGGACACAACATCTAAACAACAAATGACAAGTCATCATCAATTCACACATGACTGTAACAGCAGCCTCATGCACACATCTGTAAAACTGGGCTGTGCAAAGAAAACTATGTAGAAGCAGACTTCAGTAAAGCTCAGCAACTCTGTGTGTGAGAGAGTTTCAAAGCAGAAGTATTAAAGCAAGTGCTAAACACAACACATTTAATGCTCCTTACAATAAATCCATGAAAAACAATTTCACCTTTGTAATGATGAGCTTTAGTAGCACACATCTTATTCTAAGCGTTTAAATCCACAAAGAATGGAAATGACTCTGTGACCTACATGTTCAGTCACAGCAAATATAATTTCTAGTACTGAACACCTGTGGCTTTGTTACATCCCAGATGGGAGCATCTTAAATCACATAACTCTCTGCAGCTAAGTAAGTCTCGGCTTGGCTACAAATATTCCAGACTACAGGAAGGATGAGATATAAAATTAACAAATAAGTGGAAGCTTTTAGCTAAACATATAACAACTAAGAGAATACAATCTATTGAAGAAAAATATCTGAGCAACATTTTGTGCAGAAACACATGACCTTTTTATGCATTAACTGTCCAAGGATTTCAGTGTCACAATAGGTAGTATGCTAAATATGTGATTACACTTAACGGTGCATTTGTGTTTTCTAAATAAAAATGAAAGCTGGGAGATTGTCAGGCTTCCTACTATTATGCACAAGGAGTGGGAATCTAATGCTCTCCTCTATGCTTTGGTCCCAAAAAACTATCTTGAAAAAAATGTTGCTATTCTACCAGGAATCCCCAGGAATGAAATGGCTTTTGCTCCTAATGACAGAGTTCTCCCCCTCCATGACAAATAGCAGTGTTAGATGTGCATTTTCATGATGACCCCATTCCAAGATGAAATTGTTACATGCACCATTGACCTGCTCTCAGTGGTCCCATGTTAATTACGATCAAACACTTAAATGTGCCATCTAATGTGGTACACAGACAATTTTGCAAGCATGAGCTGTAAGCTTGTGGTTTGCAATTTTTCTGACATCATATATAATAAAGGTGCAATGAGCAAGAGTACCATGAGCAGCAATTGTGCAACAAAAGCAAGGGGTGGTAGCAGGCAAAATGTACACCAGAAACTGCTTTTCCCAGTTAACTGGTGCTGCCATCAGTGAGAAGACAGACATCTGGGAGCACCTTCAAAGAAAAGAGTCTGAAGAATCTGTCAGCCCTTCTTATGCTCAGCCCATCAGAAGTTCTGCAATGCTGGACTGATGGGTCACAACCAACAGTTTTATATCAATAGAAAAGTCCATACCTAAATACTACATAGAGATGCTATCATCAAAAGGTTTCAGCAATCACTCTACAGAAGAAAAAGTGTGGTGGACTGTTACTCTCCAGTGTCAAACTGGGGACCTGCAGCTGCTGTCTGATGGCAGATCGGTTCTTCTGCTAAGTTTGTGGCTCTCCAGCACAATGTCTCTGCTATGTCTCTGCTATGAAAAAGCAGAAACTCCCATCTATCTATCTATCTATCTATCTATCTATCTATCTATCTATCTATCTATCTATCTATCTATCTATCTATCTATCTATCTATCTATCTATCTATCTATCTATCTATCTATCTATCTATCTGGTAACTTTCTGAACAGAGATGTTTTCAAGAAAAATTCTAAGTTTATACAGTATGTCATATTTCATGACAGTGAAGTAAACTTATGAGAGGGGGGCAAAGCCTGTATTTATTTAAACTAGAGGGTGAATTATAAAATCAAAGGTCCAATGTATTTCTTTTCATCTGAACTAAAAATGGCTGTGACTCCCTCTGTGCCTTTCATTGGCAGTTAACTAAGTTCACAGACTGCTTAAGCTCTGGCATGGAAAGAGAAGGGTAAAGGTTGTAAGGGAAAGCCAGAAGACATGTGTAATATAGAACTGCTTAAATGATGTATAGCAATTGCTCTCTTAATATCTGAATTTCTTCCTGGGCCCCGGATACTAGGCATGGGATTTTCAGACTTTTTGGACTACAAATCCCATGAAAAATGGCCTAGCTGAAAAGACTTTGTGATGTAGCACAGGCCTAGCTGCCCCCCCCCCCGAACACT